AAAAAAAAATCAAAAAATCCAAATGAAGCTCCAAAGTACGCTATTTCACAACTTATTTTCTCTGTTTGCTTTCTCAAATGACAACCACTGTAGTTAGGGATCAAAAGATTTGCTGTAGCTGGGGGTGGGGAAAAAAGCAATTCAGCTCCCCAGCAGCCAGCTGAGGAAATCCTAGTCCACTCTCAAACTAAATCACTGTTAATTAGAATTATGGGTACACTAGTAAAGTCTTAATTTAAATAACTAACCAGTGGAGGAGGGGATCTATTTTCTTGAGAAACTGTTGGAGTAAGGCTATTTTCTACTAGTAAGTCATAAGAAATGAAGAACAAAGCAAGAAAATGTCTTATACTTTAAAATAAAGTTCTCTAATCTGTATTTCTAAGCCACAGTGAAAAAGAAAAGGCAAGTTGGATAATTCTCAATAGTTTTATATCTAATTTCCCATACCTGTGGTCTAACACCTTTACCTTTTTCATAAATACAAGCTACACTGGAAAACACCAAGAAACAAAAGATGGAGTTTGATTTTAGGAATACTGTATATCAACCTTCTATCTAGAAATGTTTTTTTAATTTAAGCTCAGATGAATGTAAAACATCAGCTCTAAAAAGCTCCCCCAAAACAAGAATTACTGTACTTGCTCGGTACCAAGCCCCCTTCTTGCTGCCTTAATAATACTGCTATTTCTGAACTCTAGTTATCAATCAAAGGCACCCATGAATCCTTAAATTACCCGAGACAAGAAAAACTTCTTAAAATTTTACCTGAAGAATGTAAGCATTCAAAAGAGAATATTTTCCTTCACAACTTGGTTTTGGAAATACCTTCAAAATATTACACAAAAAATAAGGCATTTTTATTTTCCCACTTTAAAATGTAGAGGTTACTAACAATATAAAATCTGCTCTTAACATGCATTTTACCAAATTTAACTTTCTACTTGATTATAGGCAGTCAAAAAATACTGAACAGAGTAACAGACATTTAACTTGGCTAAAACAAAAATAAATGAAAAGCAAAAATTATGCCAAGGCCCCCAAGACCTAGATGAGTTCACTGACAAATGAAGTCTCTCATCATGTGGATCTATCCTGGCTTTTTGCAATCTTGAAGCCCAGAAGTTGCCATCTGAACTTAATTCACTAACCAGCCAATTTTCTTCTACATAAACTAAAAGAAGCTACAAAATGAAGTGATGATGTTTTACCACAGGATCAAATTAACAGAGCTCCAAGCAGGGAACTAGGAAGCATCCTTAACAATTTAAAACTAACTTGCACAACAAGCACTAGAAGTGATGTAAGAAATTCCTTTTACCAATATCACAGTAGCGGTTGGCATTCTGCCCCAGCAACCCCTACTATCCCAAAATCAGGTATTTTAATCTATTTCCTACCTTTGCCCCACAACCTTGAAGAAAAGGCAGAAACCAAGAAATTACAAATAAAATAAGGAAATGACTTATCTGGGCATATTTAAAGGAATCTGTCGAATTTTTTTTTTCAGTATCTCCCCTAACTCCTTTTGACACAATAACGAAGGCACATACCTATATTTTTCTGCTAATAATTCAAAATGAACTATAGATTAGGAATTATGTCATGATTATATTCTAACTGTAGGAGTCAGAAATGCTCAGAAAAAAACTCAGTGCACTCAATATCGGAGGCTGGAAATGTGGTCAACTCCCACCTCAACTGCTGGGAGTTACCAGATGTGTTCACTGTTGCCTTTTAGTACTCTTCCGAGGTCACAGAACCTCGAAAGGAAAGGCAAGAAAGAGAACCTGTGTGCTGTCTGTACAGGGAACAGCAGCAGTACTACACTATGCATTTTTTAACAAAAGCAGAAAATTGAGTCAACTCAGAAATAACTTTTTTTAAAGTTACAGAACCAAGAAGTTAAATTGTCATGGTAAATATTTGCTAGTTTATTTTCCAGAATAAACACTTAGACACCATGGAAACAAGAGGGGAACAACAGTTCATATTCAGTAAACTTCTCCCCATTCCTCTAAAGTATAATTATACAAAATATGCTTTTAACTACTTATGATGAATTACAACCTTATTTTGCTTTAAATATTTAAAAGTCATCTCTCTCTTACAGTGAACAAATTCAATAGTCAGCACATGCTTCCTTGAGTCATTCATCTTCCTTTGAAATTCCAAAAGGGAGCAATCCTTTACTACATCTAAATGGGTTCATGTTTGTTATGAAAACCTATAAGCAACAACCGAAAGTAACAGCACAGACTGAAATAGTGTGAATCAAAAAGCTAGCTACTCCGTTCTGACCGAATTAAAAATATTTAAAGGACTGTAAATTCAGCATCAATGGCCTTTCTGGCAGGAAGATATTTCTAAAATTCCACATCCAGTTCATTTCTTCATGAAATACAACCAAAATCTCCCATCTGCATAGCTTTCACTTGCACATACTTCATATAAAATGGAAATCTATCACAAGAATACAAAGTAAGGATTATTCATTTTGTTCTAAAGATTTAAGTTTTATTTATTTTTCGAGAAAAATACTGATTAGGAACCAAAAAAAAAACCATGTCCACTATTTCAAAGGCAAATTTTTTTGGGAAAAGGGTCATTTCTGTGAAAATGTTAAATTCCTAGGTACTAATAAATTTAAGCTATGAAACAGTACACAGTGCTAGTTTTCACACTGAAAAATAAAATATCCCATAACAGTTTCATGTATTTTCTTTTAAACCCATCAAGCCAGCAAAAGTTCCTACTGGGTTTTCAACACAAAGAAAGTATTCGTATCACTAACTTGGACTGATGTAAAATATTAAAGCTATCTGCGCCTATATGGATTTCTTGATAAAATTCTTTTAAATGTTTCTGACCAATTAACGAAATCAGACTATAAATGAGAAATCCGATTTTTTTTAAATGTACTGATGAATAATTGATAACAAATGTAATTCTTAGGCTTCCTTTACAGCAATAGTCTCAAGTAGAACTGAAAGCTACGCCTGCAGTAAAATCTGTCATCTACTTTATGCGCACAGGTGGGTACAGGAAGTAGTCACTCATGGGAACGCATTATGGAAATACATAGCCTAAAATATGGGCCATCAGATAGATCTTAAGTATGTTTGTTTTTTTTTAGGGCAAATTTCAGATTAGGATTTACAACATTCACAAATTAATACCAAACCAAATCGCCAAACTAATTTAGAAAGTCTTTGTTCTTTTAATTCTATCTCCTTCTACCCTAGCTCGATTTCACCCTTCTCCTTTGTGACATGGGATTTTAATTATCTCAAATATGCTCACATTCAGAAATTAGTCTCCAAAGATACCTCCCAGGATGGCCAGGCACCTAGGCACCACATATCATACGCATCTTTAAAAAAAAAACAAGAACTCTGAAAACAGATCATTACTTGAACAGCAATGTAAGGTTAGCCAGGCTCTCTTCGAGACAGATTTTTCTCTTAACTGTTTAAAAAAAAAATCCCTGATTTATTAACAATTATGTTTAAGTTAATAAATCTACGAAAGCACAAGAATCCTCCCCTCTGTAGCTCTTCCTTCATTCAACAATTGGGCGCCTCAATGACCTGTTTTCACGTTACTTTCTTCACACCTGCCAGGTCACTGTCCTGATTGAGAAACTTCTCGTTGAAGCAATTAATTTTTAGTGCATCCTAACTGTCCCGGGTGTTTGCATTCAATTTGAAATCTGTTACTTGTTAGACACCGTTCGGTCCTGGATCTTTCACAGAATTGCGAGTTTATGGCGCAGAGAGGGGAGGAGGCAAGGATCCCCAAGAGCCTCCCTTTTATTCGGAAATGAGGAGATGTGAAAGGTGGAAGGCAGGGCAAATAAATAAATAAATCGGGTTTGCCTCCGGAGCGTTTGCCGGTGGTTCGAGCACCCTTTGTAATGCAGGCCTCCCGGGGCTATCGCCTGCACTAATTGCTCCAGGGCGCTTTCCAAGTTCAAAAGTTCACCTTTTACGACCTCACAAAAGCTCCTTACACGTTACCAATAAAAACATTCCGCGGCAAACAACGAGGGGGAAAATATCAAACAGATACAAATAAAACACTCCGCTGGGGGAGGGAATGGGGGCGCAGCAAGCGCAAGGAACCTGATGACTTGGCCAGGACGGGGTGGAGGTGGGGTGCGGGAAGCCTGGCCAGGTGAGGAACTGCGAGGGTCCGGAGTCTCGGATCGAGAAAGGGAACAGGAGAAAGAGGCTGGGCAAGTGCGGACCGGGAAGAGCCGGCCAGCGCCGGGAAAGAGGCAGGTGTCCCGAGCCCCGCTAGAGCAGACCTGAACTAGCAGAAAGTCGCCTAACACAGCGTGCCCAAGCTGGGGCAGTGGCAGGCGGGCGCGTGCGGGGCATCGAGGAAGCTGAGCCCAGGGCAGGAGCAGGCACCAGGAGGTCCGAAAAAGGAAACGGTCGGGGATACTAACGAAGCAGGAGTCCGCGCAGAAGGGATAGGTAGTGGAGGGCAAGAGCAGGGCTTCGGAAAAGGAAAACGCTCCAGAGAGGTGAGGGGTCCCAGGGTGTGGAGTCGGGTGGACAGAGCCGGGAATGGGACCCCGGGAGTGGAGGGGACCCCAGAGGAAGGCGGACGCCCCCACGGACGGGCCGCAATGGGGACGAGGGGGGTGAGATCCGCCCGAAGGTACCCGGGGGGAGGAGGCAGGATTGGCGCAGAGGGACGGGGGGAGGGGAAGCCTGTTCCTAAGGGAGGGGGAGGGGGAAGTGAAGCCCCGGCCGAGGGAACGGGGCAGGGGGAGGGTCTGCGGGGAGGGGGACGGGGAGGGCGGGGACGGTCCGCACGACTGAGACCGAAGAGACCAAGGACTCGCGCTGAGGGACACCGGGGTGAAGGTCCACACTCAGGGGCCACCGTGGCCGTCCAGAGCGAGAGCCGGCCAAGGGGAGGGGGCTGCCCGGTGGAGGGACACAAGGATGGTTCTACGTCGGCCTGCGCCGTGCAGGCCCCTCACCCACCGTTGCGCGGCGGCGGAGGGAGCGCGGCAGGCGGCTCCAGGAACCCCGCCGAGCCCCCGCCGCCTCCCCCTCCGCTAGGCGGCCGTTCGTCCCGCTCCATGCCGCGGTGCTCAGGACCCGTGCCGGGTTCGCTGCTCAGCCATGACCCGCACCCTCTTCGTCGTCGTCGTCCACCGGGGGGAGGGGGCTGTCAGGGGCCGGCGGGCTCCCGGCCGCGGCGCTCTCTGGGCCCCGAGCCGCCCGGCTCCGCGCCCCTGCGCGCCGCGCCCCCTCAGCACTGGCCAGCTCCCTCCCCTGACGTCACGCGCCGCTGCCACGCACGGACCCGCGGTGCACTCTGGGAAGTGGAGTCCGCCGGGCGAGGCCGGCCACGCTGGACCCCACCAACTGAAGGGGTGCGAGTAAGGACAAGCAACCCTAGTAAGGGAAAGCCAAGAACTTTAGCTATCACGATCCTGAAGAAACCTCCGATAAATACTGAATGAAAGCATGTTTCAGGTTTTTCTCTGTATTTTGGCTTATCCTTGAACCAAACTCACTAGTACTCTTCTTATTCCCCCGCCCCAACAATAAGCCTTTCCAAAGGGGCGGATCCAGAAGGGGCGGGGTGAGCACGTGCAGCGAAGCCCAGCCCTGTGGGCGGGGCCCAGGTGGGCGGGGCCTGGGTGTATTCACAAGGGCCTTCCTCTTCGGCCGCGGGACAAATTGGACCCGAGATTAAAGGACCGGAGTTTAACTCGAGGTGACTGCGTTCGTATGCAAATGGATCTATACAACTCTGCTTTCCGGGGTAGTGTTTAAAGCCTTTTACCTCCGGGTGGGCGGGAAAGACTAAAAGTTTCTCTTCCTCCTCTTTCATTTTGCCCCCAACCCGTAGAACAGATGGAGAAACCAAGCTCCACGTTCTTGATGCGGTTAAAGAAAGTTGCAGGGGTTTGACTTCAAGAGTCTTGATACCTTCTTTTAAGAGTCGCTCCTTACCCATTCTTAGTCTCCTTCCCTTCTGCTCAACTTCCCTACCTGTAAAATGGGTTTGGATTAGGGACAGAATCCTCCTAGAAGATCCCAAAACCCCTCGCACTCACCCCTGCCTCAGTTTCTTGATGTTTTGGGGGGATAGAATCCCGCATTTTACCCGCTGCTCCCAGCTGAGCCCATCTTCGGTGGCCAGCAGGTGGCGCGCGGCCCTGGCCTGGGGACTTACTGGGGCGTCCGTCTTCGGCGACCCCCTGGGGAAGAACTCCTAAGGCCTGCTCCTCAGAGTCTAAACTCTCCCTGGCCCGCTTGAAGACAAAGAACAAGAACGCTGGTGTTTGCCCTCCTCTCTTCTGGATTATGCCGCTACTCTCTCCCAGGGCTCTGCTTCCCGCCCCGCAGTACTTTGGCTCTTCTATGTGATAGCTTAATTTTTTTTTTCCCGGTACCGGGAATCGAACTCACGACCTTGCGCTTGCCAGGCAGGCGCTCTGCCGCTGAGCTAAAACCCCAGCCCCATGATATCTTAATTTTAATTCTCATCCTGGCAATCACTTTCCTACCTGGTCTCACCTCTGCCTTTTCTCGCCACACCCCTTCCCTCACCGGCTGCGCGCTGTTTGCAGTGCTTTCCTGCCGGTGCGGATAGCTGGTCTTTACCAAAGTTGCTTAACCTGTTTCATTCTTAATCTGCCGGCCACTGTTCTAAGAGATTTACAGGAACCCTGGGTTGTCTAAGCCTCACAACCACTCAATGAAGGATCTCCGATATTACCCGATAGTACATGCACTGATGAAATTGCCCGGGAGTGATGGCGATTCCAAACCCAGTCGATCGGAAAGCTGGAATCCTGCTGACTTCACCTTTCCCACTCACAAATTATTTATTTTTCTAAATCCTGTTCGAATACTGCTTCAATGGCACCTTCCTTAATACCCCCTACCGAGGGACAAGTGTGTCTCCTCTGAGTTCCCACATGGCTCCGTTGAACTCTTAGCCGACTGTAAGAGGTGATTTTTCAGTGCCTGCTTCCTTGACACTTTTTCTGAGCCCTCCCAAGGGCAGGGAGCAGTGCTTCTGGAACTGGCCCCTGGGAGGAGGCAAGTAGAGCATTGGGGGAAATGAGGGACAGAGGCGATGGATCCACTGGGCCGCCCCCTGGGCTCTGGGTTGTAAAACATGTCAGGACCTCCTAGCTTTCCTAGGCAAGAATTTCCCTGTCTTATCACTGGCCTCGAGGTAGCAATCCTTTACCCTGAAGATCTTCTCAAGGGGGACTGAGTAGCCTGCCAGACTGCCCTGCAGCCCTGGGGTTTGAGTGATGAATGGATTGCAAGTTGGCCCAAAGATGGAGAGAGGAGTCCAGCCAAATGTTCGGCTTCTGGAAACAATTCCCCGTCCTTCAGATTCCAGCAGTGTGTCTCCTGCCACAGCCTTCCTGCAGCCCCCTGCCTGCTCAGATCCCTCTATTCTCCATCACAGCAAAACCCCCGCTGCTGAGCACAGGGCCGTTTCACATTAGGCACACTTACTAACGGCTGCGGGGGTGAAAGAAGGGACCAAAACAGGTCTGACTCTTCTACTTAAGAACTGTGTGGCCTTGGGTGTGTCACTGCTGAGACTCTGTCCTGGTTTCTAAGGGGAGAGGGACAATAATAATAGTTGCTACTTCAGAAGAATGTAAGAGTTAAATGAGATGGTGCAGGGGTATAGTGCGGTGACAGCACTGGTCTAGCATACCTGAGGCCCAAGGCTCGACTGCCAAAAACCAAACAAATAAGTCATGAATGACACGGTACATGCAAAACAATTACTATGAGGTCCAGTTTAGGGAATGGAACCTGTTGCTAATGGTTATTTGGACAATGGTCCCAAGCCCCAGATAGCTCTCTTCTGAAGCTGCTTCTGGGAAGGGTCAGCTACCACGGCACTAAGAAAAGCAAGGAGATCCCAGCCACTGTCCTAAGCATGTAGAGCCCATGAGGGAGCACCCATTAGGATTCCCCATGGGGCCTTTTCTCTAATTTCAGCCCGAAATCTTGAGAAGTCAGTACTTTCTCCCTCATTTACAAATAAGGAGACAAAAAAGCAGCACATGGAGTGCCGGGCATGGCAGCACATACCTGTAATCCCAGCACTCAGGAGGCTGAGGCAGGAGGATTGTCATGAGTTCAAGGCCAGCCTGGACTACATATGGAGACCTTATTCTCAACTCCCCCGTTCCAAAAAAAGCGGCAGATGGAAAGGCTTCCCCAGCAGCTAGAGAACTCAAGACAGAAGATCTGGAAAGGAAAGAATCTGAGGATAAGAACGGGTGTGAGAGGGGGTGGTCCTGAGGCCGGAAGCACAAACACCAGACGTCCACAGCTAAGAATGAGGTGGGAATCAGCCTCATCAAGGGGACCTTGCTCACTGGTGGGAGAGGCAGACTTACGCTCACCAAATTAGGTGAGCACAGGACCCCAAGTGCTCCAACTGAGAGTCCCTTAGACAGAAGTCCTGGGCCTGGTGGGAAAGAGACGGCTCACTGTAGTGGGGGTGCTGATCAGGGGAGTCTTCCCTGGAAAGGAGCAATAAAATAAGATGGGGCAGACAGGGAGGGATGAGGCAGACTGCATGGAGCGGTGAAGGTAGAAAGAGCAATGTGTCCAGATCCCAAAGCCAAGTCAGGGCCTGGCACCCCAACAAACTAGGAAAATCCACCAGGAGCCCACTGAGGGGAAAGGGGTCAGGGAGGACCCCTGAGGCTGCTGGAGGAAATGCCACCTAGACAGGGGGAACCAGACAGCACCCAGGACAAAAGGTGGGAGAGGGAACCTCTGCCTGTTGCATTTAAGTACACTTCATGTTTTTCAAAGAGGACACGCATTGCAAAATCCACAGAAGGCAAAAATGTACTCAATGAAAATTCTCCTTAGTCCAGTTACTTTCGGAACCGATCCATCAGATGGGCTTGTTTTTCATGCCTCCTTCACGGCTGGTTATGAAAGAAGTTTCCTTGTTCTGAACACCCACGATGCCCTCTAAATTAGCTGAGCTACCCATCACCAACCTCGCCTGGTCAGGGCTCCTCAAGCTCTGAGTCCTCCCCACACCCAGGGTTCGGGAACAGATTGCTGCCCCACCCTCCAGTGGTCTGCGGGTGAAGCCCGAGAATTTGCATTTCTCACAAGTCCCCCGGGGCAGGACCACGACTGGGAGCGCGCTGGTCGTAGGTCCACACCTGGAGAAGCCCTGGGCCAGCTGTTGGGGGCCGGGGAGGCAAAGCTTGTGCCTTGATGGCACGTTTCCCTCCACGATGGCAGGCGTGCTCCGTGGAGTGACAGCTTCTAAGAGAAAACAACTAAGCGGGGGACGATTCTTGGGGGAAAGTGCTGGAGGACAGAGGGAATGTGGGGTGGGGTGGCAGCAAGGGACGCACAAATAAATGTTCCTGTGTGGGCGCAGTGCACAAATTCAGGTAAACACATGCGGAGCTGTCTTGGTCCCCTAAGCAACAGTGTGGAGAGGGAAGGAGACTCAGGACTGCACAGAGGAGGAAAGGCCGGTAAAGGAGCCTGGAAAGGAGCCCCCCACCCTCACCCCAGGAAATACGGGGGGAAAAAACGGGTAGCTAGTCATGGAGGTTGACGCCTGTAATCCCAGCACTTTGGGAGGCTGAGGCAGGAGGGTTCCAAACTCGAGGTTTCCCCTCCCCCCTGGGGGGACAGCCCTTATGTCAAAATAAGAAGGGCTGGGGCTATAGCTCAGTGTGAAGACCCTGGGTTCAATCTCAAGTACCGCGAAAATAAAATGTACTAAGTTTTGCGCTGCCCCCAAGGGAGGAGCAGGTTAGACAAGAAGGCCTGACTCTGTCGTCGCCTGAGGAATTGTAGAGAGCTGCCTTCTTGGATTTCGGGCGTAGTGCGGTCTAAGACCCCCAGAGCGGAGGTATGAGCTGGGATTGTAAAACGCTCGCCGCTGCTGATGGCCCTTTGGGAGGCGTCGCAGTCAGGGGAGCAGAGAAATCAGGTGCCCCAAGAAGGCCGGGGAGGAGAGAGGGTCCTAGGGTTTGTTTGGTTGGGAGGGGGTGGGGAAGGAGAGGGTGATGGAAGACGCGGGGCGGGCGCTGAGCGTTAAGAACGCAGTGTGAGCAGGGTCCCATGGAAAGAAGGAATCGTTTAGGGCAGCGCGAGGGCTCACTCATTTGGACTCTGTAACTACTCCAAAGAGGCTACTTTTAGCGGGGTGCGGTGCACACGCCTGTAATCTCAGCGTTCCGGAGGCTGAGGCAAGAGGATCGCCGCTAATTCGAGGCCAGCCTGAGCAACATTAGAGGTCCTGTCTCAAAAAAAAAAAAAAAAAAAAGAGGTTGCTATTTTCTCGATGGACAAACTGAGGTTCTAAGAGGTAAAGGGACACCCCCCAGAGTCCCCATGTCTTGTAACAGGGCTTCCGCGGTCTGCATGAGGAGCCCGCGCCCCACCTGCAGACCGGAACTTCGCAGGACCCTCTCCAGAGCGCTCGCCGGGCGCCCGGGGAGGATCCTCTGGGCGGCGCGGGGCGGGCGGGGCGGGGCGGGTGCCCCG